TTGCCCTTCCTCTATCCACCAGCGCCAGAAGATATTGTGGGTCTCCCATCTGCCCAGGCCATGTCTTCTACCCTTCATCACTTTGATGTCCTTGTGCCATTTCTTGGGTTTCTCTTCCAATTCAGAGCGTATGCCTGGATCAAGGAACACCAGCAAGTGACAGGACAAGCTGCAGCAAAACTCATTTTAGTTGAAAAAAAAGACAGGCGGGAAGAGAACCGAGTCCAGAAGGGTAGCGTGGGTGGCTCCCAGAATAAAGACCTGGATCTGTTAGAGTGAGTCCAGAGGAGCCACGGAGATGGGCCGAGGCTGGAGCAGCTCCCGTGCGAGGACAGGCTGAGAGAGTTGGGAGTGTGCAGCCTGGAGAAGAGAAGGCTCCGGGGAGACCTTCCAGCACCTCCCAGTGCTGAAAGGGGGCTACAGGAGAGCTGGGGGGGCTCTGGATCACGGGGTGCAGGGACAGGACGAGGGGGAACGGTTTGAAGCTGCAAGAGGGGAGATGGAGATGAGATGTGAGGAAGAAATGTTTTCCTGTGCGGGGGGTGAGGCAGTGGCCCAGGGTGCCCAGAGCAGCTGTGGATGCCCCATCCCTGGAGGGGTTCAAGGCCAGGCTGGATGAGGCTTTGGGCAACCTGGGCTAGTGGGAGGTGTCCCTGCCCATGGCAGGGGGATTGGAACTCAATGTTCTTTAAAGTCCCTTCCAACCCAAACCATTCTAGGATTCTACGATCCTAAAATAAAGATTTAGACTAGTCACTGAGATAAAAGCTCATCTCCCAGTGCTTGTTCAGTAAATGCTGGGTTATTGCTAATTCCCCAGATGCTGGTCACTACCAGGAGTTAATCACTTGCAGTGAAGCTCAGGGTAGTTAACTGCCTGACAAATCCCTCCTTAGCCACAGCAGTGACTGCTTTCATGGGGATTATCTCCATTAATGCCTCCCATCTAATGATTTATAGCTGCAATCGCATCCTTCTCTTTTTTCTCTCTCCCAGTGGCAGTGGTGCAAGGGACCCAGCAGCTCCTGGGCAGGAGCCATAGCTCAGGGCTTGCTCTCAGTTGGAAGAAAAGTGCTGGGTGTCTCAGTGGCAGCAAAAGCTTTGCTGTTCTAGGCAGACCCAGGATGCCTCCTGGAAGCTGTCCCAGGACTGGGGAGACCTCGTCCCTTGGCTCCCTCCATGGGCACCACAAGGGTGGTGGGAGGCTGAGCCGCTGATCCAGGGGGATGTGGTCTCTCCTTGTGTGTTCGCCCTCTCCATTCCTCCTCCTCCTCCCCGCTCTGCTGCACCACACAGGCCCTGGGAGACTTCTAAAATCTTGTTCAGCCGCCCAGATATCTGGTGTTTGCATCTTTTGCCTTTCCTAATCTGGCAAATTTTTTATAACTGGTATTGACTTTAATTTAAACTATTAGGCAAGCCCCTGAATACAGATGCAATCATATCCCCCCCCAAACCTGTGCGCACACCACGTTAATTATGATGTCCTCATTTCCGTCTCACTAGGGGATCTTATCGCAATGATGGGGGCCGGGCTGAGCTCTGCTTAATAAAAGCCTCTTCAAGCCATCAGCTGAGAACAGGTGATACTGAGAGGCTGGGTGTGGGCACAGTGCCCACGCTGTTGAACCGATGGTACCCAGCGCCAGAGACTCCTCTCCCTGGCCATTAGAGCTTTTAATTGAGGTGAAACAGAAAAACCCTTCAATTCACGGGGATTCCTGAAGTGGGTCCCTCCACCCCAAGTGCCCAGCAAGTCCTGGGATCCAGCAGAGCTTGTAGGACCTGTGTTGCCTTGTGGCACATTGGGAAGATGTGCCTGTGGCACCCAAGCCATGTGTTTAGGGCGCCTGCCTTCCCTCCGTGCACTTGCACCGATGGCAGAGCTCTTGCCCTGCAGGCCAGTGGTACAGGCGTGGCATTTTGGGCCAGTCCCAGACTGGGATCCCAATGTGCTGCGTACAACCCGGGGAAAGAGCTGTGCAAAAAAGCACCAGGTTTGAAGGAGTGATGCTGCAAATGCAAACCCTCCAAGTTCTCCCCTGCAGCTGACGCTGACCATTGCCAGTGCTTGGAGATGCACATTTAGCTCCTTGCTCTCTGCCAGCAGTGAGGACACTGCCAGCTCTGGCACAGGGGCGTGGGGACACCATGGTTAGGAGCACTGTCTCCTCTGCCAGACTTGGGAGGGAAGTGAATGTCTGGAGATCCAAAGCAACCACACTAGCTGGAGGCCAAGGTGTTTTGGTGCACACAGTAACCTCATAGTTCCCTTGCTGGACACTCCTGGAGAGCCCCAATCCCTGCAGATGTTGCAGAGGGGAGCTGGCTGTGCACTGTGGGGAACACCCCTGCTCACCATCCTCAGCTCTGCCCTTGCCCTGTGTCTCCTCTCATGAGCAGCTCTGCCTCACTTCCCCCGAGGAACTCAGCAGGGAAAAGACAGGAAACAGATGTTGCGTTAATTTGTGCTCAATTAATTTCGACAACGACTTCCACACCCTCTGCAGCACCGCAGCGTGCGCACACGTCGGTGGGGGAGCAGGGAGCTGGCTGGCTCCCACTGGCCCTGGTGCAGGGATGTGCAGGGATGCCTGCCGCTGCACACACTCCAGGGCACCCCTGTACCCCTTGGCCAAGCAGCAGGAGTGTGTCCTGGGTGTTGCAGCACTTCCTATGGGCTCATCTCTGTGACTGGGGAAGCTGAGGCATAAGGAAGTTGCTGCCCCTCTCTCCTCCAGCAGAGCACACAGGAGCCTGGCCCCTTCCCATGTGCTCCACCTGAGTGCCCAGCAGGTCTTCAGTGATCCCAGGACCTAGGATGAACCTGGGCATTTCTGGAATTCAGAAGATAATTTTTTTTAAAGAACCAGAAATATTTTTCTCTCCTGGCAGTGTCTTGACTTCCACACCCTTTCCCAGCATATTCCCCTCTGAATGAGTTTTCACTGAAGTTTGCAGCTGGAGCTGCTGCCTCTTCCAGGTTGCTTTAAGCTCTTTAGGAATGAGAAGCAGAGTCTTCTCCTAAATGCGAGATGCTGGGGGAGTCTTGAAGATGCACGTGACCAAAATGACTGCTCCGATCACCCTAGCACTAGCAGAAGGCACAGCAACACATCCTCTCCTGGAGCAGCAGGTCGAGGAGGTTAAATGAGGAAGGAATTTCCCAGCTGAGAGGGGAGGAGGGAGCAGGCTGTTTTACAGGAATCTCTGATAACTTCTTTCCAATACCTCTTACTCTGTGGAGGTGTGATGCCCTCCCCCAGCTGTGCCCTGTCCCTGCAGTGCTGGCAGCCACATAACAGGGCTGTTGCCTACCTGTCCCAGCAGATCCTCCTCCTCACCAGCTCCCACAGTCACCGGGGTGAAGTCTTCGGTCTCCCTCTGAGCTGAGCATCAGGCTCCTTCTCTCTGGGCTGCTGTTGGTTTTGTGTCTGTAATGAACCACGGGTCACCACTTGCATGAGAAAACACCATTTTTGACCTGTCAGAGCAAGCCCAGAGTTTTATTTTAATGTACTTGCAACACTGCTTAAAAGGTTTGTTTTCCTGCTCTGTGCACCACTGCCGGAGCTTTGCTTGGCTCCAGCAGCACATGGGCAAGGAGGGCACGCACAGTGCTGAGGTGGGGGGCTGCTCCCCGTCAACTGCCTTTGGGGGTGCAGGCAGAGCCAGCAGCCCGAGGAAAGTGCAAGCAGGGGGTGCTGAGGCTGTGGGGGCAGAGCAGCAAGTGCTGCAGGGGTGCCAGTACCTTCCCCAGCTTCTGCAGGGCTGCAGCTGGACTCGGGCATGGGGGTGGGACTCAGGCTCTTCAAAGCCTGTTGCTAAGTCCATGGAAAAGTCAGAAGGTTTGAAGTCCTCCTCTGCTCTTCTTCCTCCTTCTCACGTAAGAAGAATTCAGGGGTCCCAGATGCATCCATGGGATTTGTGTTTCGGGTGCCTGGTTTGGACAGAGATGTGAGCTGAAGAAGTGGTGGGAAGCCCCCAGAGAAGGGAAGGTCTGTGGGTCCTGGTGAGGGGTTGGTGGAATTGGAGGGGGAGGAGAGGGAGACATGGGGCAAGAGTGAGCCCCCAGAAGTGTCCTGTAGCCCCCAGCTACAAAGTTCAACTTGTCTCTCAGCTATGGAGCTCATTTGTATCCAAACTCTCACTGCTCCTCACTTCTCATCAGTCAAAACCACTTAGCATCCCTCCCTTGAATGACATAAATGTCCTCGTCCCTCTAAACTCACCCAGACCACTCCTCCATCGCAATCCTCCTTGCTGCAACCCGCTTTTGCCCAGCATCTCCTCCCCAAGCTCACCCTGCTGCCACTGCTACACTGAATTTTAACCCCAGAGCTGTCAATCTCTAAGCTCCCAGGTTCCTGAGCTGGTCCTCAGTCCAGTCTCTCAGCTGGGCTGAGCACTGTGAGCTCACACGGAGGAACCTTGCCTGGGAAGAAGGGGGCTCTGGGCCCCATGGACCCCTGTTTCTTGCTGGAAATCCTGTGTTTGCTGCATGCTTCCTCTTCACCCTGCGTTATGCACCCTAAAAATCATTCTCCAGATGGAAAGTCGGCTGTTTGTGCATGGAGATTGCCTGAGCCAGGAGAGACCCAGCTGAGCTCCATGCAGGTGCCTTCCTGCTGCTGCTGCGAATGGCAGGTGGAGCACCAAGGAAAGGGGCTTGCGGACACGGAGGGTCTGGAGCCCTCCCAAACACACACTGCCATCAGATCAGACTCCTGCAAGCATTCCTGTCTGCAAACTGGGGTGAACTTCACCCAGTGCTGCATCAGGGTGGTCTGTTAGAGTTACTGCCCAAATTAGTGCTGGGCAAAACCCACTCATCCTCATCTTCCTTTGGCCTGTGGCAGCAGTGATCTCTTGTCCAGATGCAGCTGCAGGAGCGGAGGGAGTTTATCATGGGACAGGTGAAGGCACAGATTCCTGCATGCCCTGTGCTTGCCCAGTGTTGGGGGACATCCGGAATGACCTGTTCTCTCTCTGTCCCACAGTGGGATTCGATCAATGAAATGGACGAGTTTTTCAGCCCCATCCACACCTACCAGGTCTGCAATGTCATGACCCCCAACCAGAACAACTGGCTACGGACCAACTGGGTTCAACGGAACGGCGCGCGGCGGGTCTACGCAGAGATTAAATTCACACTGCGGGACTGCAACAGCATGCCGGGCGTGCTGGGCACCTGCAAGGAGACTTTCAACCTCTACTACCTGGAGTCCGACCGGGACCTGGGCACCAGCACCCGGGAGAGCCAGTTTATGAAGATCGACACCATCGCAGCTGATGAGAGCTTCACCAACGTGGACCTGGGGGTGAGGCGCCTGAAGCTGAACACAGAGGTGCGGGGCGTGGGGCCACTGAGCAAGAGGGGTTTCTACTTGGCCTTCCAGGACATAGGCGCCTGCATTGCCATCGTTTCGGTGCGGGTGTACTATAAGAAGTGCCCGGCGACGGTGAGGAACTTGGCATCCTTCTCTGAGGCTGTGACTGGGGCAGATTCGTCCTCCCTGGTGGAGGTGCGGGGAGAGTGCGTAGGCCATTCAGAGGAGAGGGACACCCCCAAAATGTACTGCAGTGCCGAGGGAGAATGGTTGGTGCCCATTGGGAAGTGCGTGTGCAGTGCTGGCTACGAAGA